CGGGGCACACCTCCTGACTCTCCCTGGAGCTGGGCCCCAGTCTGCTCAAGACCTCTGCGAACGTGGGCCGATCGGGTGAGAGTCACTATGTGGGCACCTTTCTCTTATATGTTTAACTTGCTGGTCTGGCTGTTTCCCATGCCAACTGTGGGCAACCTCGGGTCTCTGTTTGTACCACGTGTTGTGGGCTGAGTTACATCCTTTGTGGGATCGTTGGGGGTGGTGTCAATTATGTACCAGCTGATTGATCTGTTTGTACCCCCAGAGATCATTCATGGAATGTCCTTCTTGTCTACAATACAGTCTGTGTATTGGTTCATCTTCCTGCTGGTGCTATCATTTTTGTTGGGCCTGGTCATTGGCAGAACAGTGTTGGAGTTCAGCTAATAGTTATAACAAGGTTACAGTAGTTAATCGGTGTCAGAATTTTTTTTTGTGGTTTAGAAGTACATTCCCAGGAAACTATTCCAAAATCCATCTTAATTTATTAGACTAGCCAGCTGTGTCTGTTAGAAATAAATGGTGCTACTATTCAATATCTAAAGAATGCATTAATTTAAAAGTGGCATTGAAAGTAACGTGCAAAGACAGCACAAAAAGATGATGTCTCCCCCACCGTTTACTAGTTTCCCTGTTTGTTACTGGAAGGCAGCGTAACTGAGCAAAGGAAATGGAGAATGGGGAGGAGCATTGCAGGCCAGCAGCCTGTGGCATTGTTCAGCTAACAGTTTTCTAGTCGGGGTGGAAGGGGTTATTTGTGTTTTTTTTTTGTTGTTGTTGTTAGTTGTACACATGCTAAATTATTTATGGACAGACGATAGTGATACTGAGGTTAATGTGTTTTGTGAGTCCTTGAGGACATAATCTGCCTTCAGAGATTACATTTACTCTTCAGGAAGTCAAATGAAGCTTAAAAAAAACAAAACAAAACAAAACACCTTCTTGAAGAAGTAGTGTGGTGTACTGTCAATCCAGCTATGTCCTCTGATGTAGAAATCATGTTTCCCAGATTAAGGTAGTGGCCTTATGATACTAAATTAACCAGTGTAAAAGCAGCGTACAGTTATTATAACTCTTACTAAGAAAAACAGGTGGTAAAATGTGATCTTAACCTTCCATAATTAGATTTTCAATTCTTACTGCATCTTCTACATGGAACTGTCACCAGTGCCTCTATTTTTGAGGATTATTCATTCACAAACCTGTGAAATACGGACGTGACCCTGTTTAAATTTAGAGAAGCTTGCAACAGCTTAGTGATGCCCCTTTTTCTGCTGCATATGAAACCCTGCTAACAATTTAGTCTGTCTGGCACACACTCCAGAATCTTCTGCCCTCCTGTCTAAGTGCACAGCCCTTGCCAACCGGAGGAGCCGTGCCATGTCAGTAGAGGAGCTACAGAGAGCATGGCCAGTAGATCAGAACTGCCCAGCATCACATTTCTTACTGGAGTAAAGGCGAATTGGGAGAACCAGACAAGTGGAACAGGCGTGTTTGTCACACTGAAAAGTGTTGCCCCGTGAGAGCTCTAAACCTCACCTGGCAAAGAAAATGTATCCCATGATCTGTGCCTGTGGTTTTCCCACTACCTACCTTAGGTAAAGCCAAGAATGTATGAACAAATAGTTTAGTACATTTGCACTTCTCTTCAAAAGGAAGCAGTTAAGGTAGCTACTTCCTCCTAAAGACACTTATTTGTAGTTTTCTGTTACTCGCATTTCATGTAAACGGTGTTAAATGGAGCTTTGGATTCAGCAAGTCTCATCACTTGAATGGTAGATGAAAGAAGACTTAAGCTTCAGTTAACTGTTTGTGAAAAGGGCTTCAGTGCCTACATACCTACTGAGAAAGGGTATTTACTCTTTCTTCAAGCGACCTGTTAAATTTGGAAATGGTTTACAAGAGTGAAAGGCATTTTCTTGCACCTTCCAGGCTAAAAATTTTTCATCTTTCCCAGCCTCTAACTTCTTGCACAGCAGACAGCTGGCTGCTCTGACTTGAGCGTCCACTTAGCCCCTACTGCAGAGCAGTCCCAGTTAAGGCTGGCTGCCCTTTCATAGCTTTTTTTGAAATACAAACCAGTTCTGCTAAGCATGGTAGATCCCTTTTTCTGGAATATTTTTAACAGAGAATACATGCGTTCTTTAGAAAAATCCTGATTCTGCCATTTTAGTTTGGCTGGCTAATGCTTCAGTTATACATGCCTCTCAGTATCGTTCCGCTTTAAAACGTTCAAGGTGACAAGTTTGGATTTTTTGTAATGTTACAGCTGAGGGCAGAGGAAAAAAATCTCACTCATATATATTTGAGTACAAAAGATTGCTTCTTACATGTGGAATGCTACCATGAAAGTGTTTTTAAATGGAATTTATTTAAGATGAAGTAACTGTGAAAGTGTTGCATTCGTCTGTGAACTCTACAGTGTAAACAGGTACACTAAGAGGTTTATTTGTATTATAACTTAAACTGCTGCAGTTATAAATTTAAGCTTGTTTCAGTAGTTTTGCTGAACTTTAGTTTCTAGTGTACTGACTTATGCAATATGTAATTGGAATATTTCCTCAACTAGAACTCCCTCAAGCATTACTGTGGGGATTATTTGAAGACTGAATAACTTTTCGTAGAATTTTGACTTGTGAAATGGAGTAAATACAACATCCAGTGACTGTGTTGCGGTTTTCTTTACAGAATCTCCACCAAAGTATAGTATGTCTAGACTAACTGAAAAATAATGTTTTATCACTTGATATGGTCTTACTGGATGCTACTTTCAAATTTATTGTGGACTGTGTGGTACCTGAAGGGTTTTATTCTGAGGTAGCTCTTATTCTGAACTGTTGGAATAGCTGTGGATGTTCTGTCAAGATTTCTTGAAAGTAAGGGCTCTTTTAGTGGAAACAGTTCATGAGCTGCTGCAATTTGAGTTGCCCAGAAGATGAATTCTTTTCAATAAAAGTATCTAAATCTTTGAGACCTAATTTTAATAAACTTGCCTTTTTTTTTTTTTTTTTGATTAAGGTCATCTCAGTCTAGAAGTGTGCTACATTTAAATTACTGTAGAGTTTTTCTTACTGACCCCTGAAGATACCCCTTTATCTCACTGAACTGAACCTTCTCAGCTGTAGCAGCTTTTGAGGGACTGAATTTGGTTAGCCATGAACGGAGTTACCGGAACCCAGCCTCAGGAGTGCAGCGCCGTTAGGTGAGTACACACAGTCAGAGCTGGGGTCGCTGTCTTCCGAGTGGACTTCTGTCCAACACAGCCACAGGACTGTGTCCAAGAGCCCTGGGTTCACCACAGCTTAAGACATTGTCTCAGCTTTCATTGAGGACTGCATCAGAAATACCTAATGTGAGATAGTGGAGATGACTGCCATAACTTAAGCGTTTCAGTAGAAGCAGTAATGTTTTAAGACTTCGGGTAAAATGAAGCCAGAAACAGACTCCCTAAGGTAACGTAAGAAAGCAAATGTTGAAAGAAAAGAAAAACATTATTGGCAATGCCAAACAAGTTGCACAGGACTAGCTCCACCTGGGAAAGGATCATCATCCTAGCTGGTTGAGAGTGTATGGGTTAAA